TAAATTTTTTATTTATTTTTTCAATGAAAGATTCCAGATTGTTTTATTATAGTAACAGTGAACTTATACCAACAAGATGTAAATGTAAGTAGCATTGTACGAATGCAACATTGTATAATTTTAGTTAAGTATATCCTTAAAAAATATTATCAATCGATTAATACAAAACCCGCAATCGATTCCCAATCGATACCAAACAGCTAAAATTATGCAAAAAAAGTTCTTCAAACACGCATTTACGATTATGACTCCTTCCGACTCGCGAATTCACTGACGATTTCGATTATCATAATCTGAGTTTTATTTAAAAATTCAATACTTCGTTCCATTCAAGCATAACATTATATGTATAAAGAGCGGTGCACACTAATGAACACTTAAAACTTAATCGTTATTAAGTACATTGACAAGAATATCGTTCCAAAAAATTTTCAATTACGATAAAGGTCTTACATAATTGAGACTCTTAAGTTACCAACGTTGCGATATCGTGTAGACTCCGCTTAAAAGCTTTATTCATCTATAAAATGTATTCATTGGATTTTGTACTCTTTGCTCTTTATAATAAAGTTAATGTTGTCTTCGTTTTATTTTGTTTTGTAACATGCAAATTAATGTTGGGTGCATTGGAAAAGTTTAATGGTATCTTAATTAGTCGATACAAGGAGGTTGCTTTATTTAGTGGAGGTTTGTATCAAATTTATATCTTCTCTAATAATATAGGCGTAGGGAAGGTTGTGCTATTTAATTGTAAACTGTAAGTACTTAGATATAAAGTTTATAAAGGCATATCTAGGTAGGTACTACAGCTAAACAAATTTTGTAACTCTTTCTGTCTCCTTCGAACAATCGATTGATCAATAAACTAAGTTTTGGAATGCCATGCTTCGACACGAATCGGTCGGCTCGACAGAAGTGATACCACGGCCTCACAGAAAACCGGCGTGAAACAACCTCAGCGTTGTGTTTCGCCGTGAGAGTGAGGTTACCGGAGGCCCAATCCCTCAGATTTTGTCCCACTTTATAAGCTGTTAAGCTATATTTCTAATCGTGATTAAAAAATGTACCTATTGAAATATGAAGATACCATTTAATTTCACTAATTATCTAAAACAAGTTCTACAATAACAAAAACGTTTTCGAAATTTTAACCATACGAAACAAAATTAAGTTTATAAGCGAAGAAAGTTTCACAATAATTCACGTTTCATTAAAACTGACGTACAAATGAATATAAAGTTAATTCATTCGTTGAATTCAAACTTTGGACTGATATATGACCACCCTGAAGTAGGACTTCAAAAGGCCAATTTATCCAGACCTCCCCCACCGCCCTCGGTAATGAAGTCCCTAATGAGAAAAGGGGAGATCTTGCTTGTTTTCAGAGTTCTAATTAGGGTGGTCTGTGTGAAGCGATATAATGAATGATTGAACAAAGCGTTAAGTCTATTATAACGTTGCAAGAACTTTATTAGAACGGTTAATGTACGAGGTTTAGTGTTGTACTTGATATCGATAACTTTTCTTATCGACTTTTTCTAAGATGTCTCTTAATGAGTCATTCTACGTTCACTATTAAGAATAATTGTAAGCACGGCTTACATGGCTAAGCTGTACAAAATAAAAACCTACCGCCCTTCGATAAAAAATGCAAAGCTAAAATTATATCAAACACATTTTGATCCTATACGCAAAAGCTTTTAAATTAATTTAATTAAAAGCACATTTTTCCATTATCGGGCAAGATAAATACTCATATCGATAAATAATTAACAAGAAACAATGCCGATGTAAATTTATCGATATAAATATAATCGACATGGCACACCACTATGGTAGAGTTTCGAGTTGAGTTCGCGTCTTTATAATTAGATAAAGCGGGTAACAATTAAACTTCCCTTAAATAAGCCAAACGTGGAGGGAACAATTAGCATTTCCAAGCTGATTATTTTATAAGTAGATATAAGTATACATAGGTTTGTAGGTAACCTGCTTGCTGGATGTGGCTTCGGAAAGTGTTAGTGTGTCTGTCACAAGTTTTAGTAAGTACATGTTAACAGTAAGTAAAGTAAGGGGATAAAATGGAGGACGACGATATTGTGTTAAAGAAAGGGTTGCGATATACATATATGGAACTGTTGTATTTTATTTGGATTAATTTTCGTACGAGATATCTCCGTCCGAAATTCTATAGAGATTACAAATAAATGTTAAATTTGTTAATTAAATTTGATTTTTTATTAACAAAAACTTTTTTATAATGAGTACCCTACAAACTGTTTGGTTTTTTATTGTTGTTTTATTAAGTGCCCGTAAATGTTTTCTGAGGAATTTGTTGCTGTCACTATCTTATACAAACAATCTGACGCGACAGGATCATAATTACATTCACAGGTAACTTTTATTTAACCATTGAAAAATCAGCTCTTATACGATTTTAATCATAAAATTAAAATATATAACAATAAGATCAACTTGTACAATAATAAACAAATACTCGGTTCTAAATTTAAAAATTAAAAGACAAAAATAAATTGCTACACAAAGGTTAAACATTCCACTGAAGTTCATCCAGTATCTTTACATCCTTGTTTACTCATCTGCCAGCGTGGTTCGTTCTAACAAATTTATGCTAGCTAATTAAGATCTGCTTTATTAATTACTTTGGCCAACTCTCTACAGTTTTTTTCTTTTTATTCTCTCTACCAAAATCGGGTCTAAATAATTAGCTTAGAGCCTATGATTTTTTCATTTAAAAAAAGCTGATTTGATGTTATTTTTTGCGATAGTTTTAGGCTTTGAGTATTTAAGACTTGTGTTGGCTGGTCCCTAGCAAATGCGTGGTCTCTCTATATAATATCAATAATAATATGTATCCTTGGTATCCAGGTATATTTTTTTTATAGGGACAAGCCCGCCGCATCCTCCCAAAACCACTGCCAAACCCTCCAAAACCTCCAAAACCTCCAAAACACTCCAAAACTCCTCTAAGCCAGGATCTACAGTAGATACAACCATGAAAACACCGGAACACTGAAGTCCGGCGCGTCCCAGGGACATGAATGACTGTCTTGGATCCCGCAACGAAATAAATCAGTAGAAATTATTTGAGGAGAAGAAAACGAAATAGTTTCTATTACCCTCGGTAAATTGAATGCAGGAGATAGAATGACTTAAGCTATAAAGGCACAGAGGAGACTGTACAACTGGGAGAAGCCCAGTCACCAAACACCACGGAAAATTTTGTATTGTTATTGTAATTGTAATATTATGTGCCGCCAAATAGTTGAATTACCCACCCAACCAACAGCCTGAATGACTACTCATTTGATTTAATGGCAAAAATATTTCATTCATTCCCGGCTGTAAGTTTAAAAATGAAAGGTCATGCAATGTCACACAAACCGAGTTGCTTCCAAAATTGTATAAGTTACCAAGGTTAGGTTAAAAATGTGAACTGCATAGAAATCGCCTTCAAAAACAAATAGTTAAACTTATTGTACTGCGATCAAAGGGCTAGCTGATTGTCTGAACGCATACAATATAAAAATCAATGTCACTTTTCATTGTAATGTTATAACTCAACGATTTGGCAAATGGTCTTGAATTATTCGTGGAAGTCCAGAGAAGGTTTAAAAGGTCAAAAAACTTACTTTTGAGGCGGAACGAAGCTTACCAGGTCAACTAGCACTAGTATAAAAATACGAACCCCAACAAAATACCTAAGTACGAAAAATCCCCGACAAAAGAAAACAAGAACAGACGAACAATAAAAATGTTCTAACGATAAAACTTTACAACTTTAGCCCCCAGTTATCAAAACACTCAAATAAATCCGGAGAGGAGTTTTAAAACTTTAAGATGTTCCAGTAAAAATGCTTTGCATAATGTATGGGGCTTCCGAATTTCTTCATTATTCCTTCCTTTCACTTTATAATTATGATCGTGATCATTTTTTACTGGTCCTTATCATTTAAGGTCTAATCTAAGTTTTATTTTTTTGGTAGGAATATCATCAATGTCTCAATCTCGCACTGGGTGGGGGGGGGGGGGGGAGAAGTGTCAGACTCACATTGACAAAAACAACCATCAGGTTCCTTCTCTTGCTTCAGGCTGCAATGCATTATTACACTAGCCCCGCAATCGGTAGGTCATAGGTGACAGGGTCTAAACTAATCCTTGAGTGACTTTTTTGACGTTGTCTAATAAAAAGTATTTGACTTATGATCACGATTATGCTTTGAATATTGATTGGTCACACTTAATTACTTCGGTACATATCTATATTTATTTATTTAAGTTGTCATGGTATGTACTTACATACACCAACTCGAGTTCCAAACTATGTCTGTACCAAATTTCACATAGGTCAGGTCAAATAGGTTTTGTAGTTCAGGCGTGAAGAAAAGGCAGGCAAAGTCACTTTCGCATTTATAATATTAGTTTGGAAATTAAATTGTCGGTAAAATGTAAACAAACATGTATCATAGTAATTGCTTACATATTGAGCAGGCAACACCCATTTCCCTCATTTGACAGCATCAATACGTCTTTCCCCCTATAAGGAGACATAAGACAAGTCGACGTGCAATAAAAATTAACGAGTGACTGCGAAACACATCACTCCCTTCTTAGAACCCTCGTATCAATCGGCAAACGGATTTGTTTCCTAATTCCTAAGGAGACAGCCTACAAGCAACAATTATACAAAAGACAACACAGCTCCAAGACACTACAGAAACAACAAACAAACCATTTAGAACTTTACACCAAGAAAAATAGACATCATTATCCTTTGCAAATAATGTACTAGCGAAATTAAATCGCAGAAAACAATCTTATAGGAAAACGCACTCTTTGCGGCTGACATAAGACTGTCTTTCGCTGGAAAGTTCATGACACCCTAATTCGTGGAGTTTTAATATTCACTTATACAAGGGAAAAGAATTACAGGAAGAAAATGAAACAGGGTGAGTAAATAAATAAAGGAAACGAGACGCCTAGGGCAGCCATGTTGGATCGTGGGTAACATTACGTGTTAGATCGTGCAACGATTCCAATTCGATTTGTCGATAGTCGAACACGATTTCAGGGAAATGACCATCGACCTTTAGAATGTGTAAATAGTTTGAGGAAATAACCTTAGCTTTACTCCTAACAGCAAGAACGCTTCGTAATAAATAAGGTACACTTTACACGAACACGAAAGACTTTTAACACACGAACTAAAATTAACTTTTATATATAGTGATGTACTAACAAATTATCGATAATTACCTACATCGATATCGAATAAATGGAAAAGCAACGGAAATATTAAGATGTAAAACAACATTAAGTAGTTGTAAAGTTATAGAGAACAGAAATAGGTAATTTAGTTAAAAACGTACTTAAATTTTAATGCTTCATCAATATTCATGAAAGCTGTTGGCAACTGTGTTTCCATTACACTACAGTAAAACAACTTAACACCAACTGTAAACGCGATAAAAAATTACTAAAAGGTATTATTAGCAACTACGAAAAAACAGATATTTTATAAATCGGCAACATTAATAAGTGTGAGAAAGCCATACTTCGGCACGAATGGTGAGTCGGCTTGACCGGAGTGATACCAGAGCCTCACAGAAAACTGGCGTGTACAGCGTTGTGTTTTGCCGTGTGAGTGAGGTTACCGGGTACCTCCCCCAATCCCTAAATCCCTAATCCCAGAAAGGTCGGCAACGCACTTCGGGGAGAAGAAGGAGTTACCTCCGTAATTACGGATGGCCATTGGCAACAGAGCTGATTGCTACCATCAGGTAATTAGTATGCTATCACACACAAAATAAAAAAACGAAAATTAATTGTAAAATAACTAGTTGAGTGTATACGAAAAGAGGCGGGCATAAAAATAACGTCAAAACGACGGTAAAAGTCACAAAAATGGGCAATAAACCAAACAAACGGGTACAATACATGTAAAAAGTCGAGCGTTCGTCTTTTCCACCGCAGTTAATAATTGATGCTTCAAACTGCCGAGTTGTGTTGCTCATACAATATGTATATCCCTAGCTACCCCTTGTTGCCGCCTGGTGGCATACATAACATATATATAAATACTACGTCCACTTAACTGTTTCTCTCTAACCTTTGTTATAGCAATTTGGATCGGTTTGGGGAACGAATTGATTGGGTGTACGAGCGGATATATTGTTACGCTTGTAATTTATTGCATAGGTTGGTTCTGTTGGTATTGAGAGATTTGTGTAAGTAAATTAATTTGTTTCATATCTTATGTTTTGCACAGCTTTAGGTGGCTTTGGTTTTTGGAGGATGAGTTGAAAGAGAGAGCAAAAGGCAATTTAAAGATCTCTTAAACAAATATATTATTGAAATTGTGCTTAATTTTAAGCTTAAAGTGTTGAGTATGAGTGCCAAGTTTTATTAAAATCGGTTTAGTAATTTTCGAGATTTTTTACTTTATGATTTGTATTAAAATTAAAAAATGGTAATACTAAAACTTGCGATAATTATCTTCAGTTTTGACTCAGCACCTTAATAATATGCGGGCAAAATCATGTGAAATTGCTAAAAAATTACAAATCCATTAATATAAAGTCAAAACGTAAAGTTTAAAAGACTAATTCTATTTCAATAAGTATACAATTAATCAACCAGTGACAGGTTATCCTGCCTAAAATTACAACACTTTCTACGCTTTCAAACCACAATATCAAAATTTTATTAACTAAACCATGAACCATAATTCAAATTGATAAATTGCCAGCATTAAAAAACCTACACGAATATACAACTACAATTAATTTTAAATATAGAAATCGATATAAGAATCGAATGATAATAAAATCGATAGTTCAATACATTCGTTTGTCACACCCTTATCTGTGTACACAGATTATCAATGAAGGCACAGATCATAATGCATGGAGCCATTGTTTATGGATGAGTTTAAACTATTACTTATGAGAGAGGTGTAATTTATTGTGTTTCATTCATGTATTGTTTTCATTGTTGACAGCTGAACGTTGATTGCATTAAAAACGATTCGGTGTATTATTTGGCGCTCATTATATTTTGTTAACTGATGAAATTGTAATGTCAGTTTTATCACTGGTAAATGTGTGGTTTTACAAAGTGTAACCAATTTCATTTTAAATGTTATCCTAGCTATTGTACGTAAGGGATTTTTATGGTAAAAAGACATGGTACAAGACTGAATGCTTACCTATATTTTAAATTTCGAATACGCATTTAGCCGCGTAAGGCCATGAGAAGTCTACATAAATAAAAATTGTTTTACTATTTTACCAAAATCAGGACTTGGTTTTACATGTAAGTATCATTAAAATATTTCACAGCAATCATATTTAATCATTGTCAAATAATGAATACCTAGCTATCAAGGGATACTACAGTAGCCCAATATTTGTATTAACGATCAGCATCCTCCGTCGGAGCCACAGATAATACACACCCATTTGTCATAGATAAAATGCCACTTCATTTAATTTATGTCTGCTATATCAGTTATAAGGACATAAAGTTGAAATTATACTCATTAAGATGATTTAGGATTGACATTATTTATGTAAACTAGGTATCTGTATAGATAGATACATTTATGTTTTATGGTTATTTTTGAAACTGTCTATGTGATACCTATATAATACAAACCCCATGAATTTGAAGCAGATATATTGCTATGCATTAACACCTCTACTTAGATTTATAAGTACTAACCTCCTTTTTAGTAGGTGTTTAGATCTTCCTTGTTACAAAGCAAGGTGGGCAAAGCTAAAAAACTTCAAATTTCAACCATACTGCTAAATTGAACTACTTTGAACAATGCCCTACCACATAATCGAACAAAAATCGAATACTAGATACTCTTTTAACTGATCCTTATTTAACAGGCACAAAACAAGAAATTCGATATTCAAAACTGCGAGACAATGCACGAGGTGCGTTCCAAAGTTGTGTTGGTGGCTTCACAAGCGATTACGTTCTAATGGACAAGCGGTGTTTGTGTTCGATACTGATAACGCTTGCTCGATACGCGCGGCGCCATGCCACTGATTTTATTATAACAAAACAAAAAAGACTATTGGCCAAGCACTCACGGCCGATGTTCGTGATCTACTGTCTGATACAGGATTTTATTTCGCCTTTGTAATCGTGCTTCGATTGTGAACTTATGTTTGTTAAGTTGGTAGCGTTGGTGTAGTTTGAATTCAGAAATCCTATTCGGCCAGTGATATTTTATCCTGATAGAATAATTCAAATTCAGAATACCCCGATGGATATTATCAATTATTAATAAAATTATATTAAAAACATCATTTTTGAGCTGGGTTAATTATCCACTGGTTTCTCTCACGACAAGGAGTGTAAGTACTAAGTAAAAACCACGACGTTCCTATTTCTGTTCCGGGCTGCGCCGCGGGACATTGTTGCGCTTACATTGCATCTGCAACCTCGCTGGACATCGGCCCTGCGGTGATCTGATGAATCTATAATATAATACTAAGGTCACGCTGCAATTCGATTCGTTCTTATTTTAAAATAAGGTACTATAAAACTACGGCTCCATTGCAAAATGTTTATGCCCTTCATAGTTCCATCTTTAAACATGGCGCCAAAGAAAATGGCGTCAACCGTTCCTATTTCAAAATCTGTGGTACAAAGGACATTAGTATTCGGATTCGGTCAATTTAGCCGACGTCTCTTTGTATTAACCGGCTAAGTTAATGGTCTCTTATCTTTAGCTCCTTGTTTTTGTTCTGTTGTGTATTATTAAAAGTCGGGTTATCTGCTAACGAGGGGCGACGTGGCTAGGACCAATGTTGATAGGATTTGTATCCAGTCTACTTGATTAATTTAACGTCTAATGTTTTTGACGGAGTAAGTAACAGACGGGCTTATTTAGTCCGCCTTTTAAACATAAATAATGATAAAGTTTAAAGAGCAACGTTTTAAGTAAATTTATAGCGTCCGCTTTACGGGTTTATTCAAAAGATTTGTAAACTAGTTTGTTGTCAACATGTAAATTAATGGGCAAAAGCATTTTAATTTACAATTCCGATCTGATTTGTCAATAAATTACATTGACGAGATGTGTTTACATAATGTAAAAGTGTAAAACATTTTATAACGGCTAAAAGTGACACATGTATTCAAATAAATAACATTCGTTCGATTTGAAAAAGGAATTCGGCGTTCTAAAATATTTGAACGAAACCATAAAGACGTTTCTTTTAAAATACCAACATAACAATACGATGTAAACTGAGCAAAGGAATTTTGGGTACAGCCACATTTTGAATACCGTGTTTGTGGGACATTTGAAATAAAATACTCATTTAAAAGATTACGATAAAGGACGTTCGATTTATAGTAAAGACCTTTTATATATTTTTAAAACTGGGTTAGGTTTATCATTTAAAAGTAAAATAAAAAAAAGGATTCTAAGATTAAAAGTAACCATGGAGTTTCTTGTTCGTTCTTTTTGCATAGGGTTTGACATACTAGTCAGCCAATATTTCGCTTATATTCTTACATTCTACTTTACAAGCCTTTTTTCTTATGCCTGATATTTTCATTTTCGCTTTTGGTCCAAAGACGCAACGTAATTAAATAATTATACAGAAAGTCATAAGTATATATTTCGTCGGAATTATTATATTAGCTCATATAATAATTCCGCACGCGCCTCAAAGAGGTAATAGACCACCACAGGCGGGGCCCTATAGGGCTGATGTTCAGCCAGGGTTGCGGGGTAAGCAGAGGGTTGCCCAAAGCAGGAGAAGGAACGGGAGGTTTTAGTGTCTGACACTCCCTCCCGCCCGACTTTGGGCGGAAGAAGGCATTTGATGATTTTCCCCTCACAAAAAAAATCTCCATAAAATAAATAGAAACGTAAAATACCTAAATTGGAATCATCACACAATTTTAAAGCAATTGCCATCAACTCAAACCTTCGAAACGGTAAATAGTAATGCATCAATATCGAAAGCGGTATTATTTTATACAAATGTGGTTAAACATAAATCTATTTTCTAGACTACATTAAGAGACTAAGAAATAGTGCATATCTGTGGTATGCCATGCTTCAATGATTGATTGAATTGTGAATTTGCAGGAAAGTATACTAAATAGAGAATAAAACTGTAATCTCTTTTTATTGTGGTTAATTGTCAGTATGTACAAGTGTTTTTTTTTTAATGGCAATCGGTTCTCCTGTTCACTATTGTCAACTATATACTGCCAGTTTTAAGAAGTGACATTAAACGACGGCTGCTGTTTCTACAGCGACAAGAGGTTCAACGCTTTTCAATCGACGAAAAAGCTTTCGTTTTCAGACAATCGGAAGTAATTCAGCAGTACGGGTTGTAATAATTTGCACTGGTAAGAAGTAGATGTTAACGCATCTCTATCGAGATGTTATAATTTTAGTTTACTTCTAGTAAAAAAACTCTTATGATAATGTGAATTTTGTGTAGCAGAATTAAACCTAAGATGGTGAAATTTTGATGACAAAAATAGGTAGGTACCCGCTTTTTTTTTAAACGGCTTAAATTGTTGGTATTTTTTCTATTTTTCTCTGATTAACTTTAACTCTAATTCATTTAAAGGCTTGTAATATGCCATCGGTTTTTAGCATATTAATATTCATTTTTTAATTAGTCTGTAAGCCTTCTGTAAAATGTAAATAGATAAATATATTAATACATTGTGGGGTCTTAAACATTTAATGTGAATGTGTATTTTTTTAATATTGTAACTGAGCAAAATAGGTCGTTGTTCAAACAGATGAAGCCGCGGGCAACAGATAGTTACAAATTAACATAAATCAACAACTTAACCACTACTTAATCAGAGAAAGAAGAATGTTGCCATTACTTATCTAAGCAGGGCAAAACGCCACTTAAAGTTAAAAGATGGCAACACCACTTAATGTTGCAATAAATAAAAAACAGTATTGCCAGCTAAAAGCATTTTGAAAACACGTGTAGGTTAACTATTGATTGAACGATTTTAATTAATATAATTTATGTTAATAGATGATTTCGATGTATGATGGTAACATTAGATATGATTAAAATTATCGTGAAAGACTTGTAGTCTACTTGTAAACAGATTACGAATAGTTTAAAGAAATGATTACAAAATAGTTACGGCGTTTTAAACTTTATTATAACTGCTTAGAATAGATTTTATCTGTAAATTTTATAGGAGCTTGTCCGCGAAAAGAAATTATTTAAATACCTTGGAAGGCATCTTATCTGAGAGCAGTGTAACACAAATAATATTGAACAAAAGAGACAGAAATATAATAACCTCTTGGACTAGATTTTTAGTTTACTGGACTACACACTTTAGTTACACTTTTATGAATTTAAACTAAAGTTAAACCTATAAAGCATAGCATTCTATGTATAATTCTGCCTATAAATCTAATGACAAGGAAAATCTATTCGTATCTGTAAGTAAATCTATCTGATCTTCCTTATTCCTATTACCTCACTTACCTTACTATCTTAATTTAATTATTATATGTTTTTTTATTGTTGTTTAGTTAAAGTGTGTTGCAAATGTTCCTTCCTTGTCTTATGGTCCACAGATAATGAAAAAGATACACGCGACCTCGCACATGATGTCATACTCTGTGGACCATAGACAAAAGTTTTTTTTTGGTTATTAATTTATTTTAAGTATTGTTTGTATCATTTAGTTTAGATTATGTATTTTTGTTTTCTGTATGTGCGCTTGCGCAAAAATAAATGTATTTACTTTCTTTTTTTATAATTATCACAGACACTAGTAGCTGTTCTACGAGTATTCAAAAGCATTTAGAATTCATATACTACACCCCATTACATTTTACGAGATGTAATTAAAACCAATTATCAAAGGACCATATCATGATACTTTAAGTTTTAAAATCCAATACTATTAGAGCTCATAAAATCTCCACTTTAAAAAGGTCTTCGTGTGGAAAGGATTTGTATAAGGTCAGAGGTCAAATATAATGGTCCTTTGAACGTGTATTATGGTTCTGTGATATCTTAACGAGGATGGGAAACTAAGAATGTTGACGCCATCTCAATAATAATTACTAGATATGTTAAGTACCGAGTACTTTTAGTGATGATAAAATAATGGCCAAACGTATCCTTATATGACATGACAGTAGTTATCTGCATTTGTTTCAGAAAAAGGTTGACTCAACCTTTTGAGCCAAGGGAGTAAGGGTTGGTCAAAGGATTGAGCCAAAAACAAAAAATGTGGGTGACTGAATTTTCGTTTTTCAAGTCTTGGAATAGGGACTTTTTCATATTAAGGTTAACGTATGCCAAAAAGGCATAGGTTTACGCTAATATGATCCAATCCTACTAGTAGTTTTTAGACATTACCCACCCAGGGCGGGAGAAGTGAATAGAAGGTTTTTTTTATGTAATAGTTTGGCAAACGAGCGGACGGATTACCTGATGGTAAGCAATCAACGCCGCCCATGGACACCCGCAACGGAAGAGTTATGAGTGCGTTGCTGACCTTTTAAGGTTTACCGTCCCCTCCTACCCCTCTCGCTCCACTAAGATTAGGAAAAGACTTTGCTCGTTTTTCCACGTTAAAAACGAAACAGTCAACAATAAAAATCTACGGGGATACATAAGGATAAGCGATGGACTGACGAAAATTTCATAAATCATCACTACATAGTGTAAAACAAAATCACTTGCTCTATCCCTATATTCATATGTATGCTTAAATCAGCGAACTTGGCTGCTGTTATTTTAATAGATCAGAAGTAGTATCAGCATTGCACCCGTGCGAAATAGAAATAGAAATAGAAATAGAAATTTTATTTGCTTAAACATGTGTATACATACAGAATTAAAATAATACATGCATGAAAGATATTATAAATAGGCGTGAGCATGACATGTCTGCCCATCTCAAGGCGTGCAAATATTAGATAAAGTTTTTTTATCAAATAGATTCAAATTATAGGAGTACATTTACACTTATACATTATGTTACATCAAATTCTAAAGATCAACAATATATTAGTTACATACACATATCATTACATTATCAATTTATATTTATTATTTAATTATTTCATTTACTAACACAAGGAGTCATTTAAAAATTCTATAATACTATAATAAGCTTTTTGTACTAAAAACGATTTCACAGTATGTTTAAGTTGAGGTATTGTTTGCTCCTTCCAACTTTTGGGCAATTTATTGTAGATAATTGGTGCCATGCAGAAAACACTTTTCCTCATAAGTGCAGTTTTTGACGTGTGTGCACATAGTTTGCTATCATCACGTCTATTTCGTGGGAATTTGTCTGCCATACGGGTGAACAAATGCGGATATGCCTTAACGAACATAGCTATTTCAAATATATACAGTGAGGGTAACGTTAAAATCTGATGTTTTTTGAAATAAGGTTTACAGCTATCAGTACTTTTGAGATTAAACATCGATCTCAAGCAGTACTTTTGTCTTTTAAAGATGATATCCCTATCAGTTGAGTTGCCCCAGAAGATAACACCATATCTAATGACGGATTCAACTAAACCATAGTAGGCTGTTAGTAAAGCATCCGTATTGAGAGTTCGTGATAGTCTATGTAACGCATATGCACTACTGCTTATTCTTTTGGCTAAAGCCTCAATATGCGCTTTCCAATTTAGGTTTTTGTCAATTGTAAGGCCCAAAAATTTTGTAGTATTAGCTGTCTGTATTTTATTATTATTATATTCGATGTCAAGATTAGAAAATAATGATGATCGTTGGCTAAAGTACATAATCAAAGTTTTATTAATATTAATTTTTAAATTATTATCATTTAGCCAAGTTACTGCATCAATTAATGTATTTTTTATGTCTGTTTCAAAAGTATACTTATTATGGCATGGTATCGTTATCGTACTGTCATCCGCAAACAATGTCATGGGAAATTTAACGGATTTGGGGAAGTCATTAATATAGAGTGTAAACAAGTGCGGTCCGAGTACACTACCTTGCGGAACTCCATGAGGGACGGTACGTTCGAGTGAAGTGAAAACCTCTTCACGTTTGGTGTTCATATTTATTCTATTAATTTGCGTTACTTGTTTTCTGTCTTGTAGATATGATTGTATAAGATCCAATATGTTTCCTCTAATACCATATGCATAAAGTTACCATACCGTTACCATATGCATAGAAAACAGGGAGGATATCTACTAAAGACTTAACAAAAGACCAAAAAGACTCACCTCCATTTAGTCCTGCGATTCTGGAACCAGGTCTTTACTTGGGCATCAGTCATCTTCAAAGTCTTCGCTAAAGAGGCTCTCTCAGCCGATGCCAGATACTTCTGTTTGTGGAACCTTTTCTCCAATTCCGCTATTTGTAATCGAGTAAAAGATGTTCTAGGCTTCTTGCGTTTAGGTGGCGTCCGATTCTGGTATGGATGTCCAATGCGCCTTGTGATTGGGAATGATGCTGGAAAGATATATTGATATAGTTAGTTTAAGTAAAGTTACAGAAACAATCATCATCGTCATCATTATCATCATCAGCCCGTTTTCATCCACTACTGGACATAGGCCTTTCCTATTGCACATTACTAAGATAATAAAAAATTCTCGAACAGAGACAATATTTACTCCAATTGCACTCAAAATTTTAACTCTTAGTCTTTCTTTTTTACTATACATATGAAGTCGGTGGTGCCCCTATAGTTGTATCTTTCTAATCATGGACAAGTATTTTATTGACAAGGTTAAACGAAAAGATTTAGTTAGTAGTATTGTTAACTGTATAATAAGGAATAGATTTTTGCCTTAAGCTAATTTAGAACATAATGGCGATGTATCAATAAACAATTTTAAGAATACCTAATTGTTGACTTAAAAAACAAAAAAAATACAGGTTCATAAAAATATTTTGAATAAGAACCAATTTAATCCTCGAATCATTTTCCCTCCATAATGAAACAATAAAAACAAATGAATGCAATGTAATTTCAAAACCGTATCATTACATCCATTGAATGGTTTTTATGATCCAACATTTATTAAAAACAACGTCAAGAACTAGGTTAAATAGTCGTCGGTAATAGGTTTTATTCAAATTCAACGTAATCTTTGAATCAGGTTGAAACCATCTAGCAATTACACCGATTACGTCTCTTAAATGTACATTCGCATCTTATCTTTATAATTGAAATCACGATTTAATCCTTATGAACAATACAGATTAGGTATTACGAAAAAAAATTGTATGAATAAATAATATTCACATTAATATACCCAGCCGTTGTTTCGACTATGTATTCTAATATTAAGATTTGATTACATCGAGTAATCAAACCTTCCCATTATACACACAAAATTACACGTTCCCGACCATTCAAGGAACTCGGTTTAAAAGGCTGACCATACAAAACCACAAGTTATCATACTTTAAAAAAAAAGGAAGCGGTAATCGTTACAAATCGTTTCAAAGTAGCTGTTGCACGTTCTCTTTTCAAAATTACATTCAAGATGGCCGACGTAATCATGTTTTAAAAATTCGAAACTCAATAAATTACTATTTAAATGGTGCGTTGCTATTGGTCGGATGGTCGGTAATAGCCAGTGTTTTCCGTAATAGATCGATTTGCATTAAATGATCCGTGAGATGAGATCATGTTGTTTATAACTATATTGTTTTCAATGTCATATCCACATTATAGTACAATCAATATAATAGCGTATTTATGTCCATTTACTTCGGCAATTTTGAGGTAAACGCTCCGTCTATTTACCAGACCGTAAATAAGCTAAGCGTTTATAATAAAACATGAGTTTAATTTAAAACATTAAATCAAATTGAGTCACTGACATTCGCAAAAAATACAGGTTTCGAATAATGTATTGTTACGGAATACTTAACACTTAGTTTTAAAACCATTTATATGTCGCTTTCTTTTCTATAAATTAAAATGCTTTACTGACCTTTAATTGAGTGTGCATTAAATTCTACCCTGTCAAGTTTTTAACACTTTTTTATGGCATTCAAACACCAAGCGACACACACAACGATATAAATTCATTGCAATAAATAGTAACTATATCTTACGGCCCTATTCTGAATTAAAAATAACGTTCATAAATTCTTTTCAAATATGGAAACGTATTAAATAGCGCGCTCTCATTGGTCGGTCGACAGCGTAATGGCCGCCTCACGTGACCGCAAATTATGTAGCAATTGCTGGGGAGTAACTTGGTCGTAGTTTAAGATTGTTAGTGACTTTAGTTCCCTCTACAATTTGAGTTTAAAAGGCAAGGCAAGGCTTTGTCATTTACTTGTGCACGAAGTACTCGGGCTTTCGTATTGAGCATTTATTTTTGTAGTCTATTATATTAAGCGATTTTGGTAATTGTCTAGTTTTCTTTCGTTGACGTTGAGAACAAAATGAGCTTGTGTAATCTAATTGCTCGTATTAAGTGAACAATACAGAATGTTTCAAGCTTTGCTACACAATGATTACAGTGGAAAACGAAGCTGAAGATTTTTGAGCTAAAACAGCTTAAGAGACTGATTTGTTTTTAGCGAAAACAAAAAAAATAGCTTCTAATGTTTAAATATAAACCTTAAAACCTTTAGAAACAAAATCGATCTCAAAATAACACGTCCAACCTTACCCATAGCCACAGAACTATATAAAAACGATTAGCTACATAGTAAAACAAATTTCCCGTCGCTTGGCATCAGGGTAGAAAAGGGTGCGGTAACAAGATTCCGCGGGTCGTAATCCGGTTAAGGACGGTATGATTCATGCGTGCGCCCAAACCCGCGTGGTTTGCGTAACGTTACGTGAATGTTGCAGAATAAGGATGTTTTGATGTGGCTGTGTGGGTGCGAGTTGGTGTTTTGATAAAAATGTGCACGCGATTGTTCAGGGTGTTTTGTTTTTAGTTTGTTATCGCTTTTATGGAGGGAGAAATCATCAAATGACTTCTCCTGTCCAAGGTGGAGTTAGAGGGAGTATCAGACTCCAATTGACTAAAAACCACTCCCTTCCTTCTCCTGCTCTGGGCCGCGGTACCTACTTGGCAACTACCTATAATCTTTTTTTTTCTCTTATAACTTAGACATAGGTTTCCATAGATTTTCTTTTCTAGTTTCCGTGGACAAATTTTGCCCTTCTTCAATAAGTGATTAGTTTTTCACATTGTAATAGTATTTCCTGACCCGAAAAATCGGTCAAGTAGTTTTGGAGCCAAATCTATAAAAACAAACAAACAATCAAATCTGTCCTCTTTATATTATTAGTAAGTACAGTCAAACGAATTAGTTTTGTATAATTTGATCACGACAGAACTGTCTGTCTGAACATTAGTCGTTCCGACGACTTATTTCAATAAACTTCAAATATTATGATGACTGTCAACTCCTTCACATTACAAATAGCTAAGTAATGCATTTGTGTGTCAGATGTCAATTCAATCGATAAAATGTGATGTAGATACATCAAAGATAAGTGAAATAGAAGGATAAAGTACTTACAATAACAATAATATGTAAGTATTAAGTCCTTTTAAACAAATACAACATGGTTTAAGCGTTATTTCTACGCTTTTATTTTATAAAGAAACTGTCCATTTTTGCATATTTAATCCACCATCATCATCAAACCCCAAGCGAACGCCGGCGTTCAGAAAACGATTGAAGGTACTTCCATTGTAATACAAAACTTTACTCATCGTCCTCATAGAACCTACTATCATCAATCAATATATCTTCCAAAAATTGAATTATTAATTTTGAGTATGACTTCAGTCTCAAAAATAACCAAAACATTTAAGTTATTTTATCATAAATATCCAGAAATACATAAAAAATTATGTTATTATTTTGACAGCCTCACCTAAGCTAATTAAAATCAACACCGATGATTTCCAACAAAATTTTCCTCGTCATAAAACCAAAAAAAAGAACAGCTTAAAAAATCATAAGCCTTAATGAAAAAACGAGAAAAACATAATTACATCAGTAATAAAGGCGGTGAAAAATTAACAAACAAATTAACATTGAAGGGTTTACCCGGTTGGGTTGAACCCTTTATGATATTACTCAACCCTTCGGATCTCAACCTCTTTGGCTACGGTTAGCCCACTCACAATGAATCACATTTATTTACCACACTTTATTAAAGCCTACAGTTTTGTTAAATGAAAAAGGCATTTATGTTATAGGTAATTAAGTTTGTAATGCTAAATCAAATATAAATATAATCAAAATTAGATATAAATATGAATATAGCATAAAATATATATTTTTTATTAAATATTATTATTAATCTAAACTAATATTATTAATGCGAAAGTAAATCTGGCTGTCTGTCTGCCTTTTCTTCACGCCTAAACTACTGAACCTATTTGTGTGAAATTTGGTACAGACATAGTTTGGAACTCGAGAAAGTACATAGGATAGTTTTTTAACCAAAAATCTGCAGGAAGTCACTATTCCACGCAAACAAAGTCGCGGGAAAAAGCTAGTAATATATATAAAAATCAATGCCACTTTTCGATGTAATCTTGAACTCAACAATAAATTTACCGATTTGGCTAATTTTGGTCTTGTATTATTCGTGTAAGTGAAATGGAGTGAATGGAGAAATTTAATATCTTTAGAGATATTGGTAGCAGTATGTAGGTGTAACATCGATTCCCTGTCAAGGAAGATACAAGGAAGCGTAAAGTACTCCGTCGCAATTTTATCGTGACACAGTAGGTGTATTTCTTTGTGTCAGTAGGTACAAATGTCAGGGATGTGTATGCAAATACACACACTCATACAAAACACTTCCGAGCGCTACTTTTACTTAAAGTGAGACAAATTCACGCTCATATTTTCGTACGAATCCGCCCCCCAAGTGAGGGAAGTGAAAAAGTAAGGACGGGAAGACGAATGCCTGACGCCTAATTGGACGCAGACGTCACGAGGGATTACACGGAGTCGCTCCATCACTCCTTGGCTCACATTTGTCCGCGCCTCCGCGATTTTTGCGCACCGTGCACCGAAAAAATTAAGCAGACAGAAAAAAATGACAGCGCCATCAAATTTACAGATTGAAACGCTGCCGCCATCTGCATCAGTAATTGTAACTGCAGGAATGAAAAAAAAATTAAAACGCGAAAAATTTTCGGCAATTTTTTGCGAATCAATTTGGGATCCGATCATAAATATGCAATTATACGGTCGGCTGCAGCGCTGGCAATGTGCACCGAGAGTAAACATTTCTCAATTACACCGGACAGTGGTGCGAAACGAAAAAATAAGCGGACAAAATCTCATACATATTGTACGCAACAAGCGAATTCCAATTCCCACTAGTTACGATAGCAAACGAACGGGAATCGGGGATACACCACGACCTCATGGAAAATTCATTGGTTGAAATGCAATCGGGTGTGGGTACGGGTTTAGGTTGCATTTTCAAACGTTGCACTCGTTCGTGAACAACAGGCTGGCTTTATGATGTTGTGCCTTTAGTGCCTTTGTTCCTACGTCGTAATCCGTGTACGATACGTGTTTGTTGCTGCTGTTCTTATTTCAAATGTTCTTTTTTTAAATGCTAGTAGGTCTGTTTTAGTGTAAAATTCTAATAAAATCGTGAAAAAAATACTTAACGTTTTTATTCTAAAAAGCAATTGTGTGAAGTTTAAGGTAACGTTTTCCTAATATTAAGCTGAGTAACACCTAAACTAAACTGATTAGATACTCTTTGTATAAATTCTCCTTTACCTCCAAAGGACTTATAATACATTCAAATAAATTTATAGAAATATAGGAAGTCATTCAATTCGAATAAATATACCTAATACAAAATACCAATACGAAAATAATATTCACTAATACATTAGAGTAATGTATGGACTAAGATGAAGATAATGTAATAACTAATTTTATATATTTATACGTATATTTGCAGAAAATAATCCGTAATGATATTAAAGTAAATTGGTTTTGCGTGAATTACTTCTAGTTATTGAGCGAAGCATATAACAATTCCAATGCAAATTAGTTTTAACAATAATTCTATAGTCTTACGTACATACAGACATTTGGATATTATTATTCAGAATTAAGTAGATACAAAGTTTCATATTGTACTTTTTTTATACACCAAAGTTATTATAAATTTCAAGATATTGTTATTTGAAGCATTTAGTAAAAGTTTCCTAGTTTAATTTTAAGATTAGTTGAGTTTTTGTTATATTGCTTGTCAGTAAAGTGACGATTGTTTATCTATACTAATATTAAACAGCTGTAAAGTTTGTTTGATTGTATGAATGCGCTAATCCCTGGAACTGCTAGTTCAAATTGAACAATTGTTTTTGTGTTCATTAGTACATTTATGAAAGAAAGCTATAGGTACTTAGGCTATAAAATATCCGATTTTAACAATTCAAAATAATTATTTAATTTAACTAGTTGTAAATAGAATAGGCCAAAAGATATTAAATATTAATTGTGTGGTCACACGCGTGACCACACATTATTAAAATTTTTCGACAAGCAAAACTATAACGATTTTGATTTTTTCATGAAAAACTCGTAACTATGACAGTTTTCTTTAACTTGAGATCCATAATACCACATACCTATTCCAGGCGTGATATCACAAAAATAATTACGTCACCATTCTTATAAACACCACAAAAAATGACACATATTCCTACATATATCAACCTTATTTTTTCCAAGTTTTATCTTCTTCGTAACACTAGGAAACACCTCAACGAAACTCCCACGTCCGTGGGACTGTCGCATGGCTGTGTGATTACACGCACGCTCGCTCATTTTGCTCATTAAAATTTTGTCTACAATGTCGTCGGTTGGACCACTGGGGTTACGTGTAGCCTAATTGCGGATAATCTAGCATCCGTCGGACGGTGTGTATGGGAATTTTAGTTAGTGAGAGGAAATATGGAAGGTTTTATAAGAAGGATGTAGTAATCCATGGGATCCATAGTGGAATGAGAGTCTATAGGAATTTTACGCAGAACTAGAGACTTTTTATTATATTAATTATTTTGAACATAAGTAATGATATATTTTGCGTATAATTTGTAGTCTTCGCAAAAAGACCGTGAACATCCAATTATGTTCTCCGTTGACTATTATATTATGACGATGAATTACCAATGATACATTTATTATTATTGTCAATAATAAATGTATCATTGGTAAAAAAGACATTTCTTCACTTGACACGCGAGGATTTCAACATTTTGGAACTTAGATAATTGCAATGCACGCCATATCATGATTGTAAGCGAAAAGTGATCTAAAATAATAACAAAAAAAAAACTATCGTCGAATACGAAATGAACTTAAGAGAGATTTGGACGAAGTCTCTAGAGGAGAGGATTTCTTTCAGTGTAGAATCAACAGTGTTAATTATATGTATGAATATGCATATTGTAGGTGATAGAAATAAAGGCATTTTATATTGTTTGTTCTGTAGTCCAAAAACAGTAAGAAAGCCGCTTTTCCCCATATTTCATCTTGCATTAAAACTACAAAGTAATTTGTGTTTCAAAACCGTAAACACATTAAAAGCTTGTGTGAACATTTGTTATCGTGTCATCATTTTCTACATTGTTGAAGAAGCTATTATGTACACACATAATAGTTTCTTTGAAGAAAGACATTGGACAGTTAGTAGAGCTCATCGCGTAGAGGGTAAAAACCATTTACCTTTTTTTATGTTAGATGAGAACAATGTTTTTTTTACAGTAGCGATGTTTATCGGCTGCGTATAAGTTAGCGATATGTACATATGTGACTCGTAGGCCATATAAACAACGTTCCATGTTTAAATTTATCTGGCACATGGTGGCTATTCATACATTGTGAAATAGGCCCTAGCTTTAAATTTGGAAGGCCTAGCCAAAGATACATACACAGGTGCATATAATACAATACCCCCTTTACCAAAGGCGAGAGGGACTGTTAAGTTCTGACTCAGCTGGGTTGCGGGACTAGCGCAATTAGGTACCGCAGCCTTGGCCTAAACGTGCCTCAAAGAGCCAATAGACCGCCACAGACGGGGCCCTATATTGCTGATGTTCAGCCGGGGTTGCGGGGTAACCGCAATGAGGCACCGCGACCTCGGCCCAGAGCATGAGAAGGAACAGGGGGGTTTCTAGTCAGTAACAGTCTGACACTCCCTCTCGCTCGGCCCTGGGCGGGAGAAGTTATTTGATGATTTTCCCCTCACAAAAAAGCCTTATCCTAAAGCAGGAGATGGAACGGGGGGGTTTTAGTCAGTAAGAGTCTTTTTTTGTGACGGGTATACAAAACTTTTTAGTAAATTAAACCTAAATCTATGTTAGTTCCAGTTTACTATGCACTATGTCATTGTGCGTTTGATTTGGAATTTATCCGCGGAAGCGACGGAACGCCACATCTACATATGATATGTGTGTGATGTGTTATCACATTTGTGCCCATATATCATCATCATCCAACATTCATCACTAAAGATATAAGGACTAATAAAATATATTATTTTATGTCCATATCCCATTTTACTCACGACTAAGACACATTATATAAGATACCTATCTCATTCTGCATATATAATGCTAATCATTGTTCAGCTCAGAAATCATTTGTTTGACTTTCTGCCTGTACAGGACAACTGAATATTTGATTGGGTATATGAGATTCGAACCAGCATATAATGAGTTCTTCGAGAGTAAATCAGACTAGAGACTACTAAGTCTAGACACAGCGAAACAAAAGTTCCCGCTGATTTAATTTTGCTGTAACCCGCGGACGAATTGTAAACGGATCGCTTCTCAACGGAAAACGCCCGCGTGGTTGAAGAAAAAATATCTATCTGCGAAAATTAGCAATATCATGCGAAGTATTATAATAACCTACATGTTACTCTATACAAATATTATAAAGTTGCAGATTTTTTCCGTTTGAACATGCTAACCTCTAAAACTACTAGTTTGAATTCAATATTTTTAAACGTCATGTTTACACATCTAGTTTTCAATTTAATTAATTTCCATAGATATCTAAAGCTTTTAACTAACACTTTTTTAAATTAGGTAGGTACTTAATACGTTTCATGCATAAAAAACATCCAAGTAATTTCTACCAGTCAAACCTTTGGTTCATGCAAATATACCTAACCAGGTTAACATAGCAAGCATAATCTAGAGCAATTACAATAACTATAGATTATATGTTTGTAAAATATTTAAACAAAAATAAACACATAACTATGCAATACCACTTAACATAAACGGGGATTCTTCTAATCTTTCTGAAGCGAAAAATATATACATATATAGCAATATAATATTTTATGTAGTCGGGTCCTCGCCTCGAGGGGAGGCGCGGGATATTTGTGCCCATATATTTACACTTTTGAAATACGACCGAGTTTATAGCATCACGCGTTATGGATTGGCGATAAAACATATCAACTTGTGGTTTACTTACATTTAAGGTTATACCTTGAGTATACAGTTTTTTCTGGAAAATGTCAAAGGTCAAATGTAGGATGGAAAATGGATACACATATTCTGGTGATTGTCATAATATGGTATAACATTTTTGCCAGTAGGTAGAGTCGAGAATCGCGAGACCATCTCCAGCCACCGTCGTGCCTTTCCGCCCGAGCAGAACCAGACTCGAGTGTATGACGCGTCGCGTTCCAGTCGTGCCTCAAACGAGTGATCAAATCACCAGAAATGGGACCCCCTAAGTCCGATTTCCAATCAAGGTTGCCGGTGCATACGCAATAATTTACCTCGGCCCCGGTTCGTAGTAGGAGAAGGAGTGGTTCTTGGTCAGTAAGAGTCGGAATCTCCATTTCGCCCCAACCAGGGTGGGCGAAATATTTTGTTCATTTGCACCTAGTTCAGGTTGATGTTATACACTGTACTTTTTCTAGATTTTAAGATATATATTTTTTTGTAATCTACCTTTTTACAACAAATAAACATAAACATTATTAAACATTTAAGTTTTCCATTGAAAAAAAGATGGGAAGGACAGTTACACGTATGATAGAACCAATTGTGTAATGTAACTAAGAACAAGGTCTTGAAGCGAATTGAAAAAGGCTAAGCATGAAGTTTCTACACTTTACAAGGAGCGTAGGAATGTATATTTTATCTTCAATATCGGACTGACAAGATTTTTTTTGTTTGGCGTTCAAAGTAACTTATTTTGGTCTTACTGAAATACCTATGACTTTGATAAGTACATGTTTTACTTTCGAAGCTATTTTGTAACAAAAGCGGAAAATGAAACGTACGCCTGTTGAAGATTTTTTTTAAAGTGTCACATCTACGTAACTTTTAATATTAATAATTTAATATAATTTGATATTATCTAAATCTACTAAAATGTTTAGTTAAATTGTAAATGTTTTAATATTATCTCTGATATTAGAAATAAGCTGTTAAATGTCTAGACTTCTCACCTTAAATTAAAATGAGGCCATTTATTTTTAAACTCTATAATTAGAATTCATTAAAACGTTTAACATTTAATTTTCATTAACATAAAGCTCAAAATAGTTTACCAAAACGACGAAGACAGGTGCGGCAATTCCAAATTAATATGCATGGCGTTATGAAATCCTTACCGACCGCAATAAGACCTTCAAACATAAACAATTACTGAACTAAAGCTAGCCGATTAGGAAAACCCCATTCTACCCGCAAAGGGAGGTCTGGCAATTTCACACATGTAATAATAATATACGAAAGGCAACCCCTGAACGTATCATCGCATATTGGTTGCCGTAAAATTTTCATAACGGCAACGATCCCGTTTCGCCCCGCGGGAAATGCGGGCGAAGATGCTTTCGAGGGGAGGTTGGCGATATTAGACGCGTGTATTAGTGTATCGATGATTTTGTGGCACGTTCGAAATTCGAAAGCTAAGAAAGCCGCTATAAAATTCTTGAGTGACGATGAAATAAAAATGTGATGTGTCAACAAAAAGGATAATTTGTTACTTACCTACATAATATTTTTATTTATTTTCATTATATCTATTTACCTACATATTATTACCAGGTTTTGGCTCGCGACTTTAATGACTTCCTGCAGATTTTTGGTTTACAAACTATCCTATGTCCTTTCTCGAGTTACAAACTACGTTTGTACCAAATTTCACACATTTAGGTTCAGTAGTTTGGGCGTGAAGAAAAGCCAGACAGACAGACAGACAGACAGACAGAGTTACTATTGCATTTATAATATTAGTTTGGATTATATTTATTTACATTAGGTTTATTGCTATTCGGTAAACTTTTTGTTAATTTTCTTTCCATTTTTCTTTTATTACTAATTATAATACACTGTGTTGGGTAACTAAACTTTTCCCGTACGTTATTAGCACCTACGCATTAAAATTTTATAAATGTGTCCCGACTTTTAGTAAGTTACAACTTACTAACTACTTACTTTTACAAAAAAATATTTTTTTTTATTATTTAAAAATTATATTTACTTTTTGTAGATATAACAATACAGTTTAAATTCATTTTAAGGAATTTGCTGTCTGATATAGTTTGACCAAAATCCTGGAATAATCAACTGCCCTTAGTCTAGTCATTTCGAAGCAAAAGTCGATGAAAAACCGATCATTGAATTACATATTTGAATGTCTAGGTATTGTAGTGGTGTTTTAAACAAACCATGTAATATGTATAAAGAAATACATTTGGTCAATCTTTTAAAAGAATAATTGTGCCTGAATGAATTACTATAGGTAATTCAAAGGGCGATTTTTATAAAATGTTGTATTTAATTCGTGAACGTTAATATTAAATTGATATGCGTAAATTTAATTTTATAGGCCTCCATATTGTCTCTCTGATGTGTCACAATTATTTGCATGACGCCCGCAAAGTAAGGCCCGTCGGCTTTTGGAATTAAACTCTAGCAAACTCGAATCAAAGCGGTACGCATATTAATCTTAAAATGATACAAATTTTGGTTTAAAATTAAAATAAAGTAATAAAAATTAAACAAAAACACTAAGAATCACTCGAAACATACTTTTTGATCTAATTTTAATAGCTTTTTTACACGGAAAATCAACTCAGTTCAAAAAAAATGTTATCAACTTTATACTTTGGTCTTAAAGGTCCAAATCAGTATAACTTAATATTCTAGCATATAGGTACATAGATAAGCGACATAAGCATAAATGTCTATAGTTATTTTGATGTTGAGATAAAAATCTAAACCAGAGCCTTCGTATACCTATTCGGTTTTATTGATATTTTTTTCCAGCCAGAGTATTATCAAATTAATTAATTTTACATTCAGTCAGTTAGTTGAAAAATAAAATGATAATGGTCGTAAAGTATGTACATATTAAGTCGCTTATTTTAATTTAAATACCATATGAAAAAATGTTAAAAATAAAGTAGGTAATATTAGTTATTATTTATCATTGTATCCACACAGGGTTTATGAAGAAGCTGCTTGCTTTGCCGTCGGAAAAGTAATTTTGAAATATTCCTAAATTTAAATACGTATGTAAAAATTGAATGACAATATTTTGGTCGACAATTTTCTACAATTATAACCTAGGTAGATTGCTTTTTGTTTTACAAACACTTTACCATGCAAAATTGTATCGAATTCGTTGTAGCCGTTTATGAGATTTTGTGCAATTCTATATACATACAAGAATTTTTTATAAAATGTTTTAGACAATAAATAAAATAGAATACGTTTTAATTATATTTACATACTAGCTACTCTCATGCGGTTTCACCCGCTGCTCTGCTCCATTTCATCGTAGCGTGATGTTTTATAGCACTCCGGAACATTATAGCTACCTATCAGTGAAAGAATTTAGCAATCCAACCCGCGGTTCCAAAGATTACCCCCTACATACAAACTTACAAATTTTACCACTTTATAATATTAGTATATAAAAAATCTAACACCATTCTTATCAACTTCAATTACACCAAAACCTGTAATATTAAAAATATCTCACGATTTCAACTACTTAGATCTTAAATAACAAAAATTTCTTACATAATTGAACTCCTTATAATATTATAATGACAAATGATTATACCATAACCGTCTAGCAATCTACTTTATCGTACCTTGGCTTAATTCAGACG